CCCACCACGGTGAGTCGGTCTCCCCGCGTGCCCTGCCCCCCACGGTGTGTGACCCCCTGCCCCCCCCAACTCCTACCCCCCTGTGCCCTGCCCCACCATGGTGTGTGACACCCCCCCGTCCCCCCCCACTCCCCTGCCCACCACGGTGAGTCGGTCTCCCCCAGTGCACCCTGGGTGCCCCCGCGTCCCCCACCCCACCATGGTGAGTTACCAGCCCTGTGTGCTCCCTGCCCCCCCCCCACTATCCTGCCGCCCCACGGTGGCCCCCCCATGACCCCCAGTCTGCCGAGCCCCTGCTGCCCCCCCGTCAGAGCATGTGATACCCCTCCCCCACATCCCTGCCCGGGTGGGGTGGGCGGGGAGCTGGTGGCGCCGGGTTCCGGGCCAGCGGGTGGCGCAAGATCCTGTGGGGTGGGGGGGGCGTCTCCAGGGTGTTGTAACTGGAGAAAAGTCCCGTGCCAGGTTCTCCAAACTCCCCTGCCCCCCCCCGGGTGACCTCTGAGTCCCCTGGGGGGGCCCACCCCGAGCGTGAGTCCCGCTGGGAGCCCCCTGCCCCCTGGGTAACCTCTGAGTCCCGCTGGGGGTCCCGCCCCTCCCACCGGGGGCAGAGCTGGGAGGCTGCCTGGGGCTGGGGGGGCTAGTGGGAGCCCCAGGGTCAATGGGGAGGGGTCGGGTCGAGGGGGGCTCCGGAGGGCGGGTCGCTGACATGTCTCCCCACAGGCGCGGTGTGTAAGTTCTGCGTGGGGCACCAATCAGAGCTGTACCAGAAGGAGGTGAGTTGGGGGGGGGACGTGTGGGTCTCACCATGGTGGGGGTGGGAGGCAGCAAACATGCTGTGGGGCCGGGATGGGCCCACGCGCGTCTGGTGGTTAAAGCATGGAGGGGGGTTGGGAGCCAGGACTCCTGGGTTCTCTCCCCAGCTCTGGGAGGGGAGTGATGTCTAGTGGTTAGAGCGCGGGGGGGGGGGGGTCTGGGAGCCAGGACGCCTGGGTCCTGTGCCAGCCTTGAGGTGAAGGCTGCAGGCCCAGCCCCTGTTCTGAGGTGTGGGGGGGCTGTATATTGGGGGAGGTGCCGTGTCTAAACCCCCCCCTCCCCGGATCCCCCCCCCAGATCTCTCATCTCTCGGCACTGGAGGAGAAGTTCTCTCGTCTCTGGACCCAGTGTCAGCGCTGTCAGGGCAGCCTGCACGAGGACGTCCTGTGCACCAGGTATGACCCCCCCGCCGGGGGGCAGGCAGGGCTGGTTGGGGGGCTGGCCAGGCTCGGGGAGGGCAGGAGGGTACCGGGGGGGGGGGACAGGCGGGTGCTCTGCTCCCAGCCCCTCCCTTGGGGCAGCCAGTTCCCACGGGAGCCAGGGGCTGAAATATGGTTTTATGCCCCGGCCCCCCCACCCCCGGGCGTTTACAGCCGCTTATCGGGCTGCGTAAACAGCCGGCTCCCACGGGGGGGGCCGGGGGGGTGGGAACGGCCGGGCCCGGCCTAGCGTCTTTATAACCCCATAAATCCAGCACCTGCCGCTGCGGCCTCCCGCCCCCCCCCACGCTGCTGGGGCGGGGCTCAGTTCCCCCTGAGCACCCCAAAAATCTCTACACGCCCTCCACGGGTCCCCCCTGCACTCCCGGTCCCCTGCCCTGAGCCCTAGACAGGGCTGCCCCTGTCGCCCCCCGTGCTGACCCCCCTCTTCTCACCCCCCCAGCCGGGACTGCCCCATCTTCTACATGCGCAAGAAGGTGCAGAAAGACCTGGACGACCAGGAGCGGCTGGTGGCCCGATTCGGGCCCCCCACGTGGTGACCGGGGCCCCCCCGCTGGCAGGGGGGCAGGACACGGGGGGGTCAGCCCCTCCCTCGCCAAGGGAGGGGGGGGCTGGGGGGGCCATCGGGAACTTTGTAATTTTCTATTTTCTACCTGGAATAAAGACTCTTATTTTCAATGCTGGGAAATTCTCCTGGTTTATGGGGCATCAGGACTCCTGGGTTCTCTCTCCAGCTCT